TTAAATTTAAGTTTTAGAGTAAAGTTTATTTTACTTAAATTTTAGATTTATCATCCTTTCTTTTTTTTCAATATATTTTTTTAAATTCTGGGTTTTACCTTTTCTAACTTTCAAGTATTAAAAAAGACTTTTACTATGGTATGACACATTTTTAAGAAAAAATTGATTTCATTTTTTTTTTTTTCAATCCATTCTTATTTACATGATGAATAAGATTCATTTCTTATATTTCCCTTCTTTTTAGGGGTATTCTACTTCTGCATTATTATTATTTTTTTCTTTTTAATTTCTAATTTAAAACTCTTTTTTCATTTACCCTTAATACATATTACAATCTCTTTATCATTTTCGTTACTTTTTATCGTCTTCCTCTCTTTAACCCAGTCAGAAACTGTCAAAGTCGTTGTACGTGTGCGTCCATTTTCAGAGAAAGAAAAATCTTCAAACTCTACATGTGTAGTGCAAGTGGACGCCGAACGTAACTGTATACTATTATTTTCTCAGGAAGAAAAAGATGTATCTAAACAATTCACTTTTGATTCTGTTTTAGATGTTCAATCGACGCAATGGGAGGTGTATACAAAAACGGCCCATCCCATTGTCGAATCGGTGTTGACAGGATACAATGGAACGATCTTTGCATATGGTCAAACAGGGACAGGAAAAACTTTTAGTATGGAAGGTATACATCATCCACCTGAATTACGTGGGATTATTCCAAATGCATTTGATCATATATTTACATTTATTCGAAGCGCCAAGGGGATTAAATTTTTGGTACGTGCAAGTTACTTAGAAATCTATAACGAAGACATTCGTGATTTACTTGCGGACACTAAAAGAGCCAAGTTAGAATTAAAAGAACATCCTGAATATGGGGTTTATGTCAAGGATTTAAGATCGTTTGTAGTCAAAGATGTGGATGAATTAGAGAAATTAATGCAAAAAGGAAATCAACTTCGTTCGGTGGGTGAAACTCAAATGAATGCAAAAAGTTCACGTTCTCATTCCATTTTCACCACTACCATTGAAATGAGTGAGATGAAAGATGGAAAAGAATGTATCCGTGTTGGTAAACTTCATTTAGTAGACTTAGCAGGATCCGAAAGGCAGTCCAAAACCGGTGCACAAGGAGATCGACTAAAAGAAGCAGCCCAAATTAATTTAAGTTTATCCTGCCTCGGAAACGTCATCAAGGCATTGGTGGATGGAAAATCTAGTCATGTACCTTATCGTGATTCTAAATTGACACGTATCTTACAAGACAGTTTAGGAGGAAGTGCCAAAACCATGATGATGGCCACTGTTTCGCCCGCGTCCTTTAATTATGAGGAAACACTTTCGACATTAAGATATGCTTCTCGGGCGAAAAACATTAAGAATAAACCAAAAATCAATGAAGATCCTAAAGACGCTATGTTACGTCAATTTCAACAGGAAATCGACCGGTTGCGTGCAGAGTTGGAAGCGAAATCCAAACCTCCTGTCATGAGAATGGTTTCAGACGGACCTATGTCCATGTCTAAAGAAAATAATGTAGACTCTTTAGCTTCCACCATTACTAATAACCTTGAAGCTGTGAATGCTATGGCTCCTTCAAAAAAGAAGAAGTTACCTTTGGCTTCGGATGAAACGGAATTAGCAACCATGGAATCAATGATACAAAAAGAAAAGAAAGCCATGTTACAAAGTAAAGATGCCATTGAACAGCAAAAATCTACTATACTAGCAGAATTGCAAAAGAAACAAGAAGAAATGGATAGCGAGCGAGTAGCCAGAGATCAGTTAGTAAAACAAATTGAAGACATGGAAAGTCAATTATTAGTTGGTGGGGTGAATATTTTGGATAAAGAAGCACAACAACGAGAGGAATTGGCCCGACATCAAGCAGAATTTGAAAACCATAAACGAGAAAAACTGATGTTAGAGGAGCAAGTAAAAAAAGAAGAAGTAGCTCGTTTACAAATGGAAGAAGAGTATACTTCGTTGCAAGAAGAAGTCACAGCGAAAACGCAGAAAATTAAGAAGTTATGGGCGTTATGGATGGAGCAAAAGGCAGAGATTCAAGACTTAACCCAAGAATTTCAACGTGAACGGGAAGGCTTATTGGATGATTTACGTTATTTGTCAAAAGACTTAAAGCTAAAATGGAAATTAGTTGAACGTTTGATTCCAGAAAAGGAGTTGTTATGGATTGAATCTCAAAGTACATGGGATGAATTGAATGAAATTTGGCATATTGAACATATTCATTTGGCTGGGAGCTCTGTCTCCACTGCTACATCTAAACCGTTAAAAACCATTCACGTTCCGATATACCCAAATCCTAATTTGTATTTAACTTATGATCCCATCATGGTTCCTAATTCAGCGAAAACTATCCATCAATCATCTCCTACAAGCAGTTCTAAAGTGCGACCTCAGGCTGCTCGTAGTAAAAGTGGAATTAAATACAGAGGACGATCTTTAAGCTCTGCTCCTCCTTGTACTCAAAATGAACCACCACCTTCTGCTCGTGGATTAGTTTCCAAACCCAAGCATTACGCTTAAAATTTATACATATGTATATAAGGTTTTCTCTTTTTTATGCATTTAACGTAAATTCTCCCAAGTGAGTATAATTTTGATGTACTCTTTTTATTTTATTACTTTCTTCGGGCATTGAGCATGCAAAAATGATTAAAAAAAATTGTTATCAATAGCGCACAGAAAAAAAATCTTTTAAAACTTCGCAGGAAAAGCATTTAACCTTTAAGGAACAAATAATAAAGTAAATTTCTATCAAGGGAAGGAAAAAAAAAAAAAAATGGTCAAACCAACTTTTTTTTCTACTCATTATTCAATTGAATTTTGAATAGTGTCGATGATTGGGGATTAAAAAAAAAAAAAGAATCGTGATATTTGTTGAAAGTAAGTGTGCAATGACTTGCACTTTCTAATGAAGAGTCCAATGAGCTCTTATCGTTTATCTATTTCTTTAAGTGGTATTTCAGTACTTTAATTGAATCTTAATTTTAACATGGGCATTGTGTAATAAGCCCTAACATTTTCTAGTTTACTTTTATCAGTCTTATTTTTTTCTATCTTAAGCTTTTTTTTGTATTTGGTATAAATGTGTACTTGCGCACATTAAGGAATAAATTAACTTTTTTTTCTCCAATTTATCACAATATTAAATATTCATTTTATTTAATTACTAAATAATTGTTTTTTATGTAAAAAGAAATTCCATTTGTTTTTGCATTATTTTATCTTATTAATATTATTTCTTGGAGCCCTGGATCAGGCGAAATGGTGTAGTGGTATCACGCTTGCTTCGGGTGCAAGAGGTCTCGGGTTCAAATCCCGGTTTCGCCCGGACTTTTTTTTTGTTAAAAAATTCATATTTAAGCTGATGTAGACTTTTAATTCATTTACAAAATATAAAATGCTTAAATTAAAGAGGAATGCTATAAATGAATATTTCCTCAAACAATATGCTGCTCATAAATAAAATACACGACTTTTTTAGATTTTGTAATGGAATGCACTAAAGTAAAACAAAAAAAATATTTATTGGGCAGGAGAGAATATATTTTACAAGTGGAGAACCCTAATGTTGTTCTCCACTTACTATTTATACATCAAAAAATTATTACAAAATTACAAAAAAAAAACTAATCATGTTGTTTACAAGTCCAACTAACAGAAGTTCAAAAATACAAAAGAAAATAGAGAAATAGCATTAAGGATTAAAACAAGTAAAATTAAAGGCAGTTTAGAATGGAGAATGGATCACATGTACAGCACTTTTATAACAGATTATATATTTTTTTATGCATTATTAAGAGATCAATAAGGGAATAAGTTCTATCTTTGCATTACTATGAATTTCATTGAACTTAAGAAAACATTTTATTCATATTTCAATGTAACTTTTAGACTTGGAAAATAGGGGAGAGGGAGAAAAAAGGTTTCAATGTCATAAATATCCATTCCTAAATTTAGGATACAAAAAAAAATGAATATTATCCTAACATTTTTATTATTAAAAAAAAACTTTTCTTTGATTATTTTAAAACAACTTCCTTTTACATTTTCTTAACCACATTTTATTTAAAAACCAAAAAAATTCCAAAAATTATATTCAATTTTTTTAG